GTGAAGGCTCCTGGAAAGGTAGCAGGTAATGTCCCAAGACTTGGGTCCCTGCCACCCACATGGAAAACTTGGATTGAGTTCTGTGCTCCTGGCTTTGGCCTGGCCCAGCCCTAGCCGTTGCAGGCATTTTGGGGGGAATACAGAGATCTCTGTATCCATCTTCTGTCTCTCTGTCCCTCTGCTTCTCAAATAAATAAAATTAAATTTAAAAATTTCAAGGTATTAGAGTGAAAAATCGAATGGTGTGGGTTCCCGCAGGATGGGTGATGTGACAGCAGGTTGGAGTGCCCTGGACTACAGGGATTGAGCAATTCTTTCCTTTCTCCAGATTTCGTGAACTTGGGCGAGCCTCTCACATTCAGAAACCACCACAGAATGACAGTAGCGTATCTGATCTTTACTGCACCACGCCTAAGGTCATCTCTTGGGACCAGCACTGTGGTGCAGTGAGTTAAGCCACCACCTGTGATGCCAGCATCCCATATGGGCACCAGTTTTGTGTCCTGTCTGTTCCACTTCCCCTGCTAACTACCTGGAAAAAGCAGTGGAAGATGGCTCAAGTGTTTGGACCCCTGCCACCCACATAGGAGACTCAAAGTTCCTGGCTCCTGGCTCTGTCCTGACCCAGCACTGGCCATTGTAGCCATCTGGGGCATGAACCAGCAAACAGGAGTGTGTTCTCTCTCTCTCTCTCTCTCTCTCTCTCTCTCTCTCTCTCTCTCTTTCAAATAAATCAATGAATCTTAAATAGTTACCAACTCCTAAGTGCTTTTCACTGAAATTGGGTGGCTTCTCTTTCTCATTCATTCAAGTTGCTTCTTCCCCAGCAGATGGAAAATCCATCTTTCTTTCTCTACCTGCATCTCAGGACGGGAAAAAAAATTTTGCTTGTTTCTACAGCACTAGTCACTGCGCACAAGGAAAGGAGTGATTTCCCAAGCAGTGGGCAGCATGGCCTTGTGGCTCTGTGACACAGCGTGGTGGTCAGGCAGGCTGAGCAGACGCCTGCTTGTCCATGGCAGGTGACTGTGGCTCTGCACCGAGCGTCTTTCCATTGTCATCGGCACAGGGCACCGTAAAGCATTTTGTACGTATAAACGTGGGTGAGAGCAACAGGGGGAGATTCTCAGGGGGGGACTCTGGGTGCTGGGGTCATGGCTCTGGTCTCTCGTTAGCATCTCCTGTGGCGACGGTCATACAGTTCTTCTGTAAGAGATTCTCCAGCCCGCATCCCACACACTGCGCGCAGTCACGTAGCACAGCAAGGCAGTAAAGAAACCGGCACTCACGTCCATCACACGGGTGCCTGGAGCCCCCTGCTGTTGGGGAAACCCCCACTGCCTGCCTTTCGGGGTTTTCCGTGATCTGATTTCACAAACCCCTGGGTGACTTCTAAGGAGGGCCCTGCTGAGGCTCAGGAGCGGACGGCCCATCAGAGCGGGCCCCACACGGCGGAGAACAGGAGAAACCCTGCTCTCTCTACGGTACCGGCGCCTCCTCTCCAGGTGTCGTGTAGAGTCCTCCCCTCCCCAACAAGAACCTCCACCTGCCTCACCGAGGGTTCAGAGTGGTCTCACTGCCCTCTGTACTGCAGGTGAGCCCGGGGCCTGCAGAGAATTCAGACCACCAGGCCTGCCGCAGATGAGCCACGCAAGAGACCCGTGGCCATATGCTTGTCATATAGGGAACTGTAACACCAGCGTGACAGCCAGACAAGAGACTTATAGGACACTCACCCTGCGCTAGGCAGGGACCTGAGTACATGTCATACGTCCACACTTTTTATATTTTTTTAAGATTTATTTATTCATTTGAAAGGCAGAGTTAGAGAGAGAGAGAGAGAGAGAGAGAGAGAGAGAGAGAGAGAGAGAGAGATCGGTCTTCCATCTGCTGGTTTACTCCCCAAATGGCTGCAATGGCCAGAGCTGAACCAATCTGAAGCCAGGAGTCAGGAGCTTCCTCTGGATCTCACATGTGGGTGCAGGGGCCCAAGGACTTGGTCCACCTTCCAATGCTTTCCCAGGCCATAGCAAAGAGCTGGATTGGAAGTGGAGTAGCCAGGACTTGAACTGGCACCCATATGGGATGCTGGCACTGCAGGCGGTGGCTTTAACCACTATGCCACAGCGTTGGCCCCCATATATCCACTCTTTCTAAAACTTTTTATTTATTTATTTCCATTTTATTTGAAAGATGGAGATCTTTCATCTGCTGCTTCCCTCTCCAAATGCCCACAATAGCTGGGGGCTGGG